ACACTATATGTGCCTCACCTGGTGCACAGGTCTGACAGGCAAGATACAAAAGTTAAAACTGATTATACAAAATTAGACAAGGACCAGAATAATGACCCGTTTGTATAATAGTCCTAAGCCAAGAGCCCAGACCTGAAGGTAACCAGCTAATAGATCAAAGGACCATGGGTCATTAGGTAGAATTTGTTGCAGCCAATGTACTTGTTCCCTGATTGTTACAATTGGGTTTCTATTTCTCCAGAGGAATTTATCCATGTGTAACAGGTGGTATCCACTATTACACAAACACCTCCTTGTTCAGCAAGTAAATAATCAAAGGCTATGTGATTATCCATAAGTAAGTCGAAGGATCACTGTTGGGCTGTTTTTTGTTTGGGTTATGGAGTTGGCTAGCTCTCCTAATGCGGGGGAGAGACTTTTGGTTCATGCATTCACTGGCATTTACTCTAATCCATGGAAGAAAGGCTCTCCTGGGAGCAAACCCAGAGTCATGCATGCCTTCTGCAAGTTCCCATTTAAGGTGGCCTTGAAGAATCTACTGGGTTGAACAAGAGGGAGGCTACCGAACAAGGTATGGAAACATCTGGTTGTTTCAACCTAACCCATAGGCTTGTGGGTATAATTGGCAGTGGCATTTGGACTAAAGAAAAATTAGTTACAGGTAGGACCTAGGAGTCTCTGACATCATAAACAAATAAGAGTTTCTGGTGACAGAATGAACAATCAGAGAGGTTTCCCTCTTTTGCAATAGACTGAGAAATGCAGATAAGAGATCGTTTCTCCAAGAGAAAGAGGGAGAGAAAAAAAGAAACAAGGTAAGAAGCAGCAGTGAGAAAAGGGTACACAGGCCTGGTCTGGTCATCTTGGTAAAGCTGTCTCCTTCTGCCGTTGTCTGCTTCAATTCCTGGAAATCTTTACTTTTAGGTAATCAGTTAGTATGTAGGTCCAGTTAGGTTCTGGTGTTTTCTTTAGAATTAACACATGAATCCAAGAGTCTATTCCTTGGAGCTTGGTGGCACGAGAGTTGGTTAACAGTACCCAATAGGGAGCTTTCCACAGGGTTGAAGAGAGTCCTTTAGGAGATGTCTTTTCCAATAGATGAAGTCCTTAAGTTATAAGGTGCAATGTTTAAGGTCTTCATCTCTTGGGAGTGTGCTATAGAAAGACTGCTTTACCAAAGCATGGTTATTCTTACTAGAAGTAATTAGGCCTTTACAGTATTAAAATACATCTCCATTTATCAACTGAGAATCAAAGAAACAGGGGCCAGGTGCATTGGGTGTCCTGATACAAGAAGAATAGATTCTTATTGAACTTATGCAAATAACTAACAATACTGTCCAAATTCTAGAGGGCTCAGTTAGGGAGATAAAGACAAATGTTTTATCTTTGTTTACATATATATATCTTACCAAATTGTTGACAACTTAAAAGATTTTCTTAAATCTGGAAAAACAAATGATTAAAAATCAGTAATACTTCAGATAAAAAGTCATAAAAATTATAATCGCATACATCAGTTCATTCCGTCCTATGTAATTAATACTTGTTCTGCTTGAGTTCAGTTTTCACTCCGTTCATTTTTTTGACCCCACCTGATGACTGACAGTGATAATTTTAAGAAATTTGCAAGGTTTTCATTAAGGCTTGTATAATTTGCCCAATGAAGTAGCGCCTTCATCACTGGAGATTGCCAAAGATATACTTCAAAGAGGAAATGCATTTTAAAATAATGAGAACATCTTGATAAGCCATAGTTAAGTGGCAACTGAATGAAGTCTAGCTGCAGGTGTTCATAAAGCCCAGAGGGAGGAGGTCTGAGACCTCTGGAGACCAAAAAAGGTTTCTCTTAATATACTAAGATGGGTGAAGGAATGTAAAACCCAAAAATAGGGTTTGCCAGGAGCCAGGAAAAATCAAGCAGCTACCTTTGGGTTTCCCAAAGCCTCAACTATTTATTTAATTTATAGCCACCGTTTATCCACCGTAATTTTTCTGATTCAGGAGCAGACTGCTGTCACGTTACAAGGATGCCAGGATGGCAAAAGTCTGGGAATGAGGAGACTTTTTTGCAGAAGCAGAATGGGTGTCACCGACGTGTGCCAGTCTTCACAAATTCTGCTGCTGCCTTTGCACAAAAGCCAGGTGGGGCTTTTCCCTGCTCAGGTTTAATCCTTTCCGTGTGAGCCTCAATTTTGATGTCAGCAATTTCAGAAAGTAAGGGAACAGCAGTAAGAAGACTGCTTACTTGTTGCCCATTTTTTACTGGGGCCCCAGAGGACATCATATAACATTTTAAGATATTAACTAGAATTCTAAGTGATAACATTATACCAGGACAATTTATCAGATTTCTAGGAATTTCACACAATTTCTGGAATACTTATATATCCATACAAGTACAACATAAAGAAAGCTTATCATTACTTCTTATTTGATGATGCTTCCCCTGTAACTTAACATTTTAACTAAGGCTAATTAGTTTAGAAAATAATTTGAAATATACCAGGGGCCCCCTGAAAAATATCCTGAAGTTTCTTCCAGGTCAAAGACTTCATTGAGAATTTGATTTGGGGGAGTTTGTCAAAATATCAGAGATTTTCAGACACTTGGTCAAATAGGATCATAAGTCACTGTGAAATAATACTTAGTTATCCACCTAACCAAAGTGACAATAAAAGAATTTTAAAGGCAAATACAAGAGGTTACAAAGTTGTTAGCAAAACTTAGCTCTTAGATTTTGGGCAAGGGTACTTCTGTAGCCTTTGCACTTTAAAAGGCCTCTTTCTCCTTTTTTTACCTTCAGCTTTAGAAATTGAGGATATTAGCTTTTGGGATAAATGGGGTGTGCGGGTGGGGTTGGGATTGGTGAAAAAGAATGGGTCAAATTTGAACTGCTTCTAGAGCTGCACTTCTAGTTTTGCAAAGATTTATAAGATTAGGACAGTAGCTCTCAACTCCTCAAAGAATTGGATTGTAACTTAAATGATATATGCTAGGCTGATCTACCTATCCAACTACATCATCCTCAATTTGCTTCTTTCCCTTTGGGTACATAGTTCTAATTTTAACTTAAGGTAAGGAAGAAGGCCTAAAAAGCATTCCTATCAGGCCCTGAATATCAGCTTCCAATCTGGCCAATTTTTTGACTACAGAGCCACTTAAGAAAAAAATTCTCTTAAATATCTTGTCAGTTTTCAGTTGGGACAGTGAATATGTCTGGCAGTACTGAAGAAACACCTTTGGGTATAAGAGGGGTGCCCAAAGAGGGTGCAAAGGATACTACCTTTCTAAGATCCAGAGTCACTCCAAAAGATAGCCAAAAGAATTGACAACCTGCATGTCCCAAGCAGGCAGACAAAATGAGACAAGCAAGAAGGCAATAGCTATCCCTGGCAGAAAAAGGATCAATAACCAATGGGTTTGGATTTGGGAAGGAAGGGACAGGGTGACATTTTATTTCTCTCTCAACTGGGCTCAGGAGATAATCTACTAAAAGAAAATTTTGAAGGCCCTTCCTGGGCTTAAGAAATTCTTTAACTATTAAAAGTTAGACCCTTAATTTAGCCTTTGACCAAGGAGTGAAAGATATTGAAGGGGTTTGCCTGTAGTCTCAGGTGGTCTTATTTTACAGGTATCTGTTTAGCAGTCTTTTCAGAGTGGAAAGGCAATTAAGACAGTATTAATGGAATTAGTACTCAAAGGAGGATAGAGGGGAAAGTAGGAGTTTTATCAGTCTTTTATCAGTTTTTTGTTTTTTGTATAGTCTTTAGGTATCTTTTATCTCTAATTTTTCATTAACCTTTTGCAATGACTCTTTCAATGAAACTATTTTGGAATTTTGGGACCTTTTGGAGGCTTCTACATGCCAATTAAAGAATGTATTTCATTGATTTAGAATTCTGTCTTTTAAGCGTGCCCCTTAAGGTGGACTTACCTAACACAAAGCTTCCCTAGAATGGCCATAATTTCAATTTTTTTAAAAGTTCACCCATTTTTCTAGAAAGGCTTAAGATTCTGGTCCAAGAACCAGATGGTATCTATCTTGTTTCTGGATTCCCTAAAATGTCTTAACACTGGGGGACCACTTTTCAAGAGCTGTTCTAAAACACTGGGAATCCCTTTCGAACAGGACGGGTGAATTACTAGGAGGCTTCAGCAAACAGAAACAAAAGAGAACTCATCAGGAAAGGCAATGCCTTCGTAAAAACAGGTCGGCAGTAAAGCTGGAAAGCTCAAAATGCAAAGAGAGCAGAGCTGAAAATATAGGAGAGACTTACCCTCAAACTCCAGGGTCAGCAAGGAATCAGTGAGCTCAACAGGCTTTTTGGGTACCTGAACCTATTTGTTCACTAGACTCAGAGTTGTTAGAGGTCTTCTCTGGATCTCACTTCTCTGACACCACTTAATGTCAACCTTAAAAATAAAGTAGTCATTTTACTAGCAAAAGTAGTTTATTCAGGAATAGCACAGGAATTATAATTGGAGACAAGCCAATGGTTGCAAACCACAGGCAAGTCCAAAGAGACAAAGGGAAGGTAAGTTCTTATTAGATCTTAGGAGGAAATTGAGGGGTGAAGTTTTGAACAAAAGTTCATTGGAGAAGAACAAGAGTCAGACTGTGGAGATTTCTCACTGGCTGCACATGGTGGTTAGTGCATTGTTGCTGTGACAAGGAGGGACCTTCCTTCTTTTTCTTAAAAGCAGAAGATAACATTCCTATCTGGAAAATGTCCTTGACGAGAATGATCTTTCATCTTCCTGCTGGTTATGCAGGCTGCAGTGAGCATGAGCGCTCCCCCTTCAGGGCTTCCCAAATCTATTTTAAATGAGGTTTCTTTTACTCATTTTCACTGTTTTGTGCACACACCGGGCTCTCCTTAAGAGGAACTTGGGAGAATGTTATCGTCTCATCTCACTCTACACCCAGCTCTCCCTTCCTCCTGGGGTGCTAGTGTCAGCAGAAGCTGATGGGGAAGTGACGCCAGGGCCACAGAAGAGGAGGGAAGGAGAGGAAAGGGGAAGTTTGGGAGGGAGGCCTCTGAGAAGGCTGTGGGAAAGGAGAGTCAGCATAGAGAGACCACCAGCTTGGTCTGTCTGCATGAGCATCTCCACCAGCATCTGCGGAGCTATGAGCCAAACCAGGGATATACAGGGTAGGGAAGGTGGAGTAGGCAGAAACCTCAGACAGGAGCAAGGAGATGAGCAGACCTGGGAAGGAGGGGTGGTCAGCTGGCCTAGGAAGGCAGAATTGGGGTGGATGGTTCTGGGCTACATGTGGGGATGAGGATACATTATTCCTTGTGCCCCCTCAGGAGGAAAAGCCTTTGGGCTGCTGAAGGCCCAGCAGGAAGAGAGACTGGATGAAATCAACACGGTAAAAGGAAGAACTAAGGGGCTCGGGGAGGGGGCCCTGGACCAGAAAGGCTCACCCTGGGACCTGTTTTCCCTCCACAGCAATTCCTGGATGATCCCAAATATAGCAATGATGAGGATCTGCCCTCCAAACTGGAAACCTTCAAAAGTGAGGGGAAAACTACAGGGGTGGAGAGGGGGTGAGGAGGGTAGGATTTCCCCAGGAACAGAGGGGGACAGCAGAGAAGCAAAGTATACTTTTGTGGTGGGAAGGGAGCCTCTATTTTGCAGTCCCTTTCCCTGGCCTGCCTCCCCAGCACCCCCTTTAGTTCCTTATACCTTGGTAGTGCCCCTCAACTCTCCGACCCCCATTGCCTCTTCCTGCCTCACCTCTTCCTCCCACACCTTCTTCCCTACCTAGCACTGGTCAGCAACCCCTTTCTTAGTCCCCTGCCCCGCCCCTGCCTGCAACCCTCCAGCTGGCACTTACTCCCCTGCTTTCTCTCCATCGCCTAGAGAAATACATGGAATTTGACCTGGATGGAAACGGAGATATTGGTGAGAAAAGGGTGATTTGGAGGAGTGTGCAGACCTGGTTAGAGGGAGGTCTCTCCTACAGCGCTCCAATCCAGATGCTTTTGGAGAGGGCCCAGCTACCAGAGGAGGAGGAAGGGTAATGGGAATGTGGACTTTGGGAGGAGGTCCCCTCTTTTCACCCCCATCCTCTGCCTCCAGATATCATGTCCCTGAAGCGAATGCTAGAGAAACTTGGGGTTCCCAAGACCCACCTGGAGCTAAAGAAATTAATCAGGGAGGTGTCCAGTGGCTCTGGGGAGACTTTCAGCTACTCTGATTTTCTCAGGATGATGTTGAGCAAGAGATCTGCCATCCTAAAAATGTGAGGGTCCAGTTCCAACCTCCTCTATACTTACCTGTTTTCTCTCCACCCTACACCCAGGCTTTCCTTCTACACATTACTCAGCGTCCATTTCTTCCATCCTTTAAGGGTCCCTTCCAAGGCCCTACCCCCATATATGGTCCCCACAGCCCCCAGCTCCTCCACCTCTCTGTCCTTTCTCCTCCCTCTCCCAGGCTTATAACCCCCATCCTCTTATGGACTGTCACAGCCGCCTAAGATTTATTCTCTCAAGGGGACTTTCTCCTGATCCCTGTGTCTCTTCCTATCTAAACCAGGATCCTGATGTACGAGGAGAAAGCAAGAGAACAGGAGAAGCCAACAGGTCCCCCAGCCAAGAAAGCTATCTCTGAGTTGCCCTGATTTGTGGTAGAGATGAGATGGATTGAAAGTGTTTATAATGATTCCAACATGGAAAAAAGAACCCCAAATTGTGGGCCATAAACTAAATTAAATAAATTATCCTCCTCCTCCAGATCAAGTCAGCTTGGTCTCTTTTTGGGGGATTTTTTTCCCTGGATTTGGGAAGGAGTGAAGCAACTTGAGGGAAGGGCAGCAAGGATTTGCCCACACGAGCAGCCCATCAACAATTTTGTAGTACGCTTACTATAGCAGATGGTTTTGTACACTAGGGAGGATTCCAGATGTGTAACATAGCTTTGAACTCAGGGAAATTAGGGAACAAACAGATACAGACAGATAAAAAGAAAATATATCACCCAGGCCCATGGTGGAGAGCAAGGATTACCTAGTACCAGAATTCTCCATCACTATAAGCTTTGTGGCCTTCACAAATCACTCAGCCTGAGTCTTTCATCTGAAAATGAGGATAATATGATCAACCCTCAATGCCTGACACAGAAGCTCTCAATAATGTTTAAAATTTGAATGGATGGATGGGTAGATGGATGAAAGAACTGGTGTTACTGAATGGAGTGAGGATTCACAACACTAAAAAGCCTGATAATTAAGTGTTAAATGAGTCATTGAGGTCCTTTTGGGGACAAGCTACAGAAAGTGAATCTATCTAACAGAGGGAAAGAGGGCTTGTATTAGGAGGATGTGGAAAACAGATACTGGAGATACAGGATCCCTGGATGGCAGAAAGGATTAAACAGCCACCTCCAGGGAAGGCAAGAGACTAAAAGCTCCTGAGCCTTCAGTAAAGTTACTCCTAGACCTTTCCTCCAAGGGGTCTGGATCAGTTAACCCTAGCAACCCCTAGTCACTGGCCACTGTTCAGATTTCCTGACTCCCTGGAGAGAATCTAATTGGTTCATCTTGTTTCACATACTGAGGGCAGATTGGGCCTCTAGGCCACCCATATTGGCACTGCAGTGTAGAGAACAAACTGTAGGAGCAGGGGTAAACTCAAGAAGACCAGTTAGGAGGGTCTTGCTGTGACCCAGATGAGGGTCACAAGATGATGGTGGATCAGATCAAGACGGAGGCACTGTAAGTGAAGAGGTTGGATTCTGGATATTTTCTCATGATATAAGTGCCTGTTTGATTGAAAGTGGAGAGTGAGATAAAGGAGTCAATGAAGATTCCAGGGATTTGGGCTTAACTAGAATTTTTTAATTGCCATCAGATGAAATGATAAAGGCTGTGACTAGAGCAGGCTTTCAGAGGCCGGAGAACAACTGTTCAGTTTTGGACATACTGAATTTGAACAGATCTATTAGATACCCAAGAGGAGATGTCATGTACATAGCTGTGAATGAATACATGTCTGGAGTTTGAGAGAGAGGTCTGCGATGTGGACATACATTTGGGGGTCATCAGCACATAAATGTTATTTAAAGCCATGAGACTAAAGTCCGTGACACACCCAGCCTCGGTAGAGGGTGGGGGTGAAGGCTTGACTGGAGTGGGTTTAAGAAAGGGTAAGAGCAGAGAAACTGGAGATAGTATGGATAGCTCGTGCAAGAAATTTTGCTCTGAGTAGCAGTTCTGGGAGAGGAACAAGAGAATTTTTTGTGTGTGTGTGTGATTTAAAACAACATACATTTATTATTTCACAGTTTCTGTGGGTCAGAAATCCAGGTACTTCTCAGCTTGGTCCTCTGTTTAGTCTCACAAGGCTGTAATCAAGTATCAGTTAGGCTGTGTTCTCATCTAGAGTTTTGACTGGAGAAGAATACATTTTCAAGCTCACTCTGGTTGTTGGCAGAATTAATTTCCTACCAGTTGTAGGGCTGAGGTCCCCAACTTCCTGCTAGCTGTTGGCTGGATGCTGCTCTCAGCTCTTAGAGGCCACTCTCATCTCCTCACTAATTGGGCCTCCCACCATGACTGCTTTCTTCAAATCCAGGAAGGGCAAGAGAGCTCTAGGGTAGGCCAGCTGGAAAGAAGTCTTATAGAACAATATAATCATGGAAGAGATTGCCCATCACTTTTGCCATATATTTTTTTTTTTTTTTACTTTATACTTCTTTATTGGGAGAGAATGACTTTGGGGTGAAGGTTAAGAAAAATGTTTAAATATCTCTTTATCCTTAAAATTATCTTAAAGTAGGATACAGCCTGAACCTCTCTGGGCACTTCTGTAGTGAGAAGCAGCAGTCCTGACTGCCCTTTATGCTGTTGCGCCAGGCTCGAAATCATGGCGTATGACCACCTCACACAATGGGTGCCATGGATACAAGAACTGCTCTTGCTGCCATCACGGATGACAGTTACACCCGACATTCCAAGCTCCGTGCCTTGTCGAGGCATTTTCAATGTATTGTTTACTTTAATCCTCATAATCATTTTACCAAGGAAGGTGGGTTTTACTCTCCCTATGTTACCATGGAGGGAATCACATGCCCAGTGAGGTTAATTAATTTCCTGAGGTGCCCTGGCATTAAGGAATGGAAGTGTGTGATGTGAACCCAGTGCTCTCTCTCTCTGAAACCTGTGGTCTTAGCCACTACATGTACATCACTGCTATTAAAAATACATTTTTATACTTGATACTGATCACAATATTCAGGCCTGAAAGCATAGTCAAGATGACGTTATGGCAGGTTTATGGAAAAAGCCAATGCATATACCCAGTGTCTGCATGTCAAAAAATTATCTTTACGAAATCTTTCAGTGATTCCCATCTTAAATATGAATTCTGAGAAGAGAGTTTTTGCTGAGATGTCATATGCAGTCAGTTTTAACAGCAGTTGTACTGACTGCGTTTTTACACCTTACAATACTAAGAAGGAAAACGGTAAAACAGTTTTATGCTCAGCAGCATGGGGCGATTTTGATTAAATTTCAAGGGTTCAGCCAATTCACTTTTTTTTCCAGCTATAATTTTTTTTTTTTTTGAGAGGGCATCGAACAAGAGAATATTTTTTTTTAATCATCTCAAGTATCTTAATGAGCCTTAAGATAAAATTCTAATCTGATTCTTGCTAATTTTTTTGCTTTTATTTTCCATAATGAACAAACAGTCCCTTTATTTAGCCACATCCCTCCAGGTAGGGGTCCCCAGAACCAGGCTTCTGCTCATTAGTTCACTAGGCCTTAGATGTGCACCCTCTCCTCAAACTTGGCTAAGTATTAAGTCTTCACATCTGTTCCTAAGAGTCACAGTTTTTCTAGAGGCATTTCTGAACCTCCCCAGGCACGGGCTGTTATTCCTCTAATTCTGCAACATTCTATGGACATATCCGGCGCTTTCAAAACAGTAGGTCTGATTGGAAAGGGCAGTAGGTCTGATTGGAGCGGAATAACTGGAGAGTAATAGACAAAGAAGGGAAACTAGCACATTTCGTAGAATGAAACCCATTGTGAAGAGAATACAAACTGCCAATAACAAGTACACAAAGATATTCAGGACAATAACAGGTTGTAAGACTAAATGTCCGGCTTAGTCATTGGTTGCCGATATTTGGATGAACAGGTCATTCCTATTCAAATAACCTGCATTCATTATGCAAATCAGCAGAACTACCCCCGAAGAATGCCTATGCTGCATGATGCTGAAGACACACTCCCTTGGACCCTTGGTTTGGACTGTCTATCCACCTCATTTTCATGACGTGATTTAATAAATGGAAGCCCCGCCCCCCTAATGCTTTCACCTCTCGCGAAGGGATGCGTGAGTTGAGATTCTTCCTCGGTTAAGAAAGCTCCGCCCTCCAGCTGCTAATTTCTTCCGCCCCGCCTTTTCTTCCGTCTCCTCCGCTGAAACCCTGACGGGCTTTGCATCGTTTCCTTTCACTCTCAGCGTCCCTACGTCTCTCCGTTTCCATCTTTACACGAACGCACGACGCACGCTCCGCCTCCTCCCCGCCATTCGTCGTGCAAATTCTATGCCCCAACCGCCCGGCCGACAGGAGCCGCATTCCCGCCCCCCTACGCAACTCAACGGCTGACCCCGGGGACCGCCTCTTCAGCCAACCGGCTAAGTAGCTCCCGTAAGTCCCTCCTTTTTATGCAAATACTCTATGCCTGCTCTGCACGCCCAGCTTTTTCTAATAAGGACAGCCCTGGAAATAAAGGGATAGGGTATAAAGTGCCCCGCCCCTTATGCAAATTAAGGCTCGTATCTTGCGCGGAGGGAGGCGGGAGTCGGGGGGGCGCTCCCGGGGGCGGCGGTTGCCCGGATGGGCCGTTAGTCGTAGCTCAGCCGCGGAGCGAGCGAGGGAGACGGGAGGAGCCGAGCCCGGCGCCATCCGCCGCCATCCGCCCCCGCCCCACCGCCATCCCACCCCGGGGAACCCTTAGGCCCCGGTCCCGGATCCCCGCGAACCCGGCCAGGTGAGTCTGAGCAAGCCGAGTGCTAACGTCCTTTTCCGGCGCGGGAGCGCTGGCGGCGGCGGCGGCGGCGGCGGCGGCGGCGGCGGGCCCGGGGGAGGTGAAGCTGCCATTAGCCGCCGCCATTTTGTCCTCCTGCTGTCGGGGCCTGCCTGCCCCTCCCCCTCCGATACCCCCAGCTTGGGGCCCGCATCTCCAGCCGCTGTCTCAAAAGAGTCTGTAGCCTGCCCCACCCCACCTACTTTTCTGGTTTCGTGGGGCGAACCCCCCACTCCCGGGCCGAACTTTGCACCCAGCGCTGCGCTCCTGGTGTTTTACCCTTCTCTGTGGGCCCCCTTTTCCTGCCGCCGCTCGGGTGGGCCGCGCCCGACGGTTCTCTCGGAGAGTATCTTTTCCTCCATATTGGATCCCCTCCCATCACCCAGCGGTAGAGTCCCCGCTTCTTGACGGCCTTCTTTGCGTCTCATCACTCCCCCTGTGGAACCCTATTACCCCGCATCTTTGCTTGTTACGTTGCTCAGACCCTCTGCTTTTTCATTTTTCTTACTCCCTCTCTTTCTTCCTGGGTCTGACATACCTCCTTACTGTGCTTCTTTTCCTAACCATTCTTACTTATGTGTAGTATTTCCCACCTGCTTTCATATTTTATTAGTGATAGCTTCATCACGACTCAGTGTCCTTTTTTCTTATATTTTCAAAGATTTGTCTCAGACATCTGCAAAGCATCCCCCATTCCCTCATCAAACATACCTTAAAGTTCTCCCCATCTTAGTTTCTATCCTGGTCCTGTATGGCTTTTCCACCACCTCACATCTCTTTACACCATTCCCCGCCTATAAGTGAATGCCTGGTCACTCAGGAACCAACTGATGATGCAGAGTTTGGTTAGCGTGGAGTATTAGGGAAATAAATTATTGCTCATGGACCCTACCCATTCTTACCAAGTGTAAGAAAATGAAGATGGTTCTGGCCTTGACCTCATGGTAACAGGTGCTCTTGAAGTGGTACCACAATGCTTGGTCCCACATCTATGTAAGTGAAGCCAAGGCCTACCAGTATTATCTGGAGACAAGACTGTCTTCCAGGAGCTGGGATGGAGACAAGTGTATTGGGGTATTCTAAATACTTGGGGAAGTATGTATGTAGAGCCTTGATTGTTCCATGAGGAATTCTCTGCCACCATCTCCCAGGCTGGCTGAGCAACCTCATAAAATCCTTAAATTCCCAGCATACCTTCTTGCAAACCTCCCCAAATGGGAGTGAGACTGCTGGGAATGGAACTTGGGGCACAGGGCCCTGGGGTTCAGTTAGGGAGCTGGTGTCTAATAGGGGATGTGAAGCTCTGGTCCTTGCACAATGGAGCTGTGTGCCTCTTTGGTTTTCTCCAGGGTTTGAACTTGCCGTCTTATTGTAGGTCTCTGAAATGATTTTGGTGGAGACAGAGGAGATTATTACTTGTGGGTAGAATGAAGAGACTCTTATTCTTATCCTTTATAGACTATTACAAAGGGGAGAGTTTATACCAGGAGGATACTAGATTTTTACTTGGATTTCATTGGCAAGAGGCGGGGTGGGAGGAAGACGGAACATGGCATTTGGGCTGTGGAAGGTGAGTAGATTGCTTAAAGGGACTGGGGAGTTAGAATAGGCTGGAAGAAAAGACATCAGAGGCCCTTATGGGCCCCTAATGAGAATGAAAGGGAACGCCTAGGCTAGTGTTGGGAGTCTGTAAAGGGAGCAGAGACTGAAATAGCTGGTGTCTGGCCCACAGGCTCCGGCACGTTTTGGGGGAGGTGCCTGCAGGACCCAACGTACTCAATGAGCTTCCAGCGCAATGTCCGATCGCTCGGGGCCGACTGCCAAGGGGAAGGATGGAAAGAAGTATTCCTCGCTCAACCTGTTTGATACATATAAGGGCAAGTCCTTAGAGATCCAGAAACCTGCTGGTGAGGGTCCTACAAAGATGCTCCTAATTATTGGAGCCTAGACATGAATGAGGCATGTGTTTTAGAGCTTGTTGAGGGAACGTGGCTTTAGTACAGATAGCAAATGACTAGTGGAACACTAGAGGCTTTCCAACTTTATCTTGGGTCGTGTATAGGACACTGGGCTTTGGGTGAGCACCAGTTACCCTCCTACAAAGGCGTGTCTGTGGGTCTGTCTCTGAACACGTAAGAATTGGAGGCAAAGAAATAAGGACTTGGATAAGTCTGGAGCCAGCTTGCTCCCTGCAGGCTCAAGATCAACCATCCCACATAGAATTTTGAATGTAATGCAGTTCAGCCTTTCTAATAGGATTTCACAGATTGCCAAAGGCAGAAGGGATAGTTTTAAGAGAAGTTTGGTAATAAGATACCAAGGATGTCTAAATGTGGTGTAGTGTAGAATGCTGTCAGATCTCCCAAGTAAAGCATTTTTCATCCTCTTTCCACCTTTTCTCCAGTTGCCCCTCGCCATGGCCTGCAGAGTCTTGGGAAAGTTGCCATTGCCCGGCGTATGCCACCCCCAGCTAACCTTCCAAGCCTGAAAGCCGAGAACAAAGGCAATGACCCCAACGTCTCACTAGTGCCGAAAGACGGAACAGGATGGGCAAGCAAACAGGAGCAGTCCGACCCCAAGAGGTAGACATTCTTGGGGGGCTTGGAGTGAAGTGTGTTTCAACTTTGAGCTTCAGTATTAATTGGGGATTGGTCTAGCCCAGCCACTTAAGAGCCAGAAACAAAGTGGGAAGCCCTTTTACTGCCTATCAGGACTCTTGTTAGATGGCAGATGGTTAGATGGTACTTATTAGATGGTACTTTTAGTTTTCTGTCAGATAGGAAGAAAGCAGGAAGAAACAGATGACAGCTTATGCAGGCTGAGGAGGTTATAGTATTTTGTCCTAACATTTGTACGCAGTGGATAGGCCTGGGTTCAGTTCCTATCCTCTATCAGTTGAAGAAGTAGGGGAGGCTTCTCAGGCTCTGATAACCTTCCAATGCTGCTGCTATTCCTTCAGTTCCGATGCCTCAACCGCTCAGCCGCCGGAATCGCAGCCACTGCCGGCTTCACAGACGCCTGCCTCCAACCAACCGAAACGACCCCCAGCAGCCCCAGAGGTATCTGAAGTACTGGATGATACTGGAAGGGAGAGAAGGAAAACGGCTGAAACCTACTCCTCGACCCACATCACCATTTTATTATCTCTCTGCTTCCCAGAACGCTCCTTCGGTTCCAAGCGGGGTAAAGTCCTGGGCACAAGCCAGCGTCACCCATGGAGCACATGGAGATGGTGAGTTCAGGACTGTTAGGAGCGCTTTTTTTGGGCACTCTGGTAGGCAGGAGTCCTGCCTTGTACCTTCAGTGACATGTCCTCAGTCCTCTGGCTAAACTGGCTAAATTCAGTTTCATGGTATACATGAGCAAGTTTGTCTTGGTCTTAACATGAGGCTAAGGAGGGTATCCCAGAACTGATCTTGTTTTCTGGGGCAATGAATGCCTAACATGTAGAGGATGAGTTTGAAGGCGTAACTTGATGATCTGGTCCCTGTCAGAGCCTTCCACTCTTATGGTTCATCCTAACTAAGTGTACTTTGGTTTCCAACTCTGCACCATAACACCAACAGGTGGAAGGGCATCAAGCCTACTGTCACGATTCTCTCGAGAGGAATTTCCGACCCTGCAGGCGGCTGGCGACCAGGACAAGGCTGCCAAGGAAAGGGAGTCTGCCGAACAGTCGTCTGGGCCCGGACCAAGCCTCCGCCCCCAAAGTGAGTGGCTACCATTTGTGAGTGAGTGAGTTGAGTGAGTGAGTGGTACCTTTTCGTCAGGACATTTCCTTATTCCATCACTGAGCCAAGTGCTGGTTTATTTACCTTCTTCCGCCCCCAAAGTGAGTGGCTACCATTTGTGAGTGAGTGACTTGAGTGAGTGAATGGTACCTTTTCGTCAGGACATTTTCTTATTCCATCACTGAGCCAAGTGCTGGTTTATTTACCTTCTTCCCCCCTCATTTTCAGCTTTGTTCATCTCTGCTTTTTCCAAAATACAGATTCTACAACTTGGAGGGATGGAGGTGGGCGTGGCCCCGATGAGCTGGAAGGCCCAGACTCCAAACTTCATCATGGCCATGATCCCCGAGGGGGGCTTCAGCCTTCAGACCCACCCCAGTTCCCTCCCTACCGCGGAATGATGCCGCCCTTCGTGAGTTTGGATATCTTATTTTGGAGTGGTTGTGTTTGAGACTAGAGCATGAGGAAAATTTTGTCTCTAGAGAGGAAAGCTAGAAAGCAGGGATTTATGACAGTGAGGGAGAACAATAGGTTTAGGGAGCTGGCAGGCTGTTCAGACCATCCATCTGAGCAGCTACCATTGGTCCTTTCTGCAGATGTACCCCCCATATCTCCCATTTCCTCCGCCCTATGGACCCCAGGGGCCTTACCGGTACCCAACTCCTGATGGACCTAGGTGAGTAATCCAGGTCTGGGTTTGTGACTGAGGACAGAGGAAGCTTATTGGGAGAAGAGATGGTATTCTAGCCAGGAGGCTAAGTCTTATATGTGGTTATACAACATGCCATCTCTTACCTCTCTTCTCCCTTTTGTCTTTTCACATCTAGCCGTTTCCCTCGTGCGGCAGGCCCCCGGAGCTCAGGGCCGCCAATGCGCCTCGTAGAACCTGTGGGTCGTCCTTCCATTCTTAAAGAGGATAATCTCAAAGAGTTTGACCAGTTAGACCAGGAAAATGATGATGGCTGGGCCGGTAAGTGGATATTAAGAATCAAGCATTTTGGTCTGAAAAGGCAAAAATCTGATGAGGAAAACATGGGGTTGGTTGGGAAAGGGGAGATAAATGGAGAAAGGGTAAGTCCTGTAAGGAAATGAGAGGAATGAGAGTGAAAAGATCCATAATGAATCTAGACTTAAGCTGGGGGTGGGCAGGGGTTGTGCTTCCCATTGCATAGTTCCACACCACTTCTTGTGTTCCAGAAGATAACTGAGATTGGAGAGCCCAACGCTTGGGTTAATACTCTTGACTTTTTCCTTCAGGGGCTCATGAGGAGGTCGACTACACTGAAAAGCTCAAGTTCAGTGATGAGGAAGATGGGCGAGAATCCGATGAGGAGGGAGCTGAGGGCCAGTGAGTTAGGGCCCTCTGGGGAGAGGAGAGGCTCAGTTTCTTTAGTGGTAACATACCCAGAAAGGAGCTGGGTTGCAGCTGATTTTAATTCCACTGTTGTCTGTTCACAGCAAGGAGTCCCAGTCAGCTGTTGGTGAGGAGCAGCCCCCTGAAGCAGATGGCAAAAAGGACAACTCCCCCAGCAACGAACCACCCCCTCCTAAGACAGCCTGGGCAGAGACCTCTCAGCCTCCAGAGACAGAGCCTGGGCCTCCTGCCCCAAAGCCTCCCCAACCCCCACCGCACCGGGGCCCTGCCGGGAACTGGAGCACCCCTGGGGACTACCCAGTGAGTGTCTACAATTAGGGATTGAGGGTCAGTTGTGGGAGATTAGTGCCAGCTGAGTAACTGAAGCAGTAGTAGTAGGAGAAGCTGGAGGGAGGGCTGAAAATGGGCTACAAGAAGCATAGAGCTTTGGAGATCTCTGAAAAGGTTTGTAACATCCTTGGTTGTAAGAGCATCTGGGTAAAAAAAAAATGGGGAAGGATGCTAGTGTGGAAGAACAGGAGATCTGGATGTTTGGGTCACTGAAGGGAGAGAAGAGACAAGTAATAAGAAGACTAGATGATGAGTTTATCCTGACCCAGAGAGGCCACAACCAGAAGCCTGGTTCTTAGCATCTATGGCTAGAGACAGTCTGTGAGAGAGATCAGAAGAAACATAACAACTGACACCTCTGGCCCTGCTGGGTCTGTCCACTGACAGGACCGTGGGGGCCCTCCCTGCAAACCCCCAGCACCGGAAGATGAGGATGAGGCATGGCGGCAGCGGAGGAAGCAGTCATCATCTGAGATTTCACTGGCTGTGGAGCGGGCCCGACGGAGGCGAGAAGAAGAGGAGCGCCGCATGCAGGAGGAACGCCGGGCAGCCTGTGCTGAGAAGCTCAAGCGACTTGATGAGAAGTTTGGGGCACCCGACAAGCGGCTCAAAGCAGAGCCTGCTGCCCCTCCTGTCCCAGCTCCACCACTTGCAGTCCCCAAAGAACTCCCCACACCTCCAGCTCCTCCACCAGTACCGGCCCCAACACCAGAAAAAGAGCCGAAAGAGCCAGCACAGGCAGCTCCTGCCCAGTCTGTCCCTGCTGCAGGTGTGGCTCCGGCCCCTGCCCTGGTGAGTGGTGGCGGCAGTGCCAGTAGCGCCAGCAGTGGCAGCTTCGACGCCAGCCCAGGTATGGAGGCGGGGATGGTACCGCCAGGCTCAGGTCTCTGCTTGGGTTGAGGGTGAGGGTAGTAAGGATGGGAATAAATGAGGTAGAAGTCAGTGGTTTTGGTTCATTGGACCGTCCTTGGTAGGGGAATGGGGCCCTTTTGCTTGTATGGATTTCCAAGGGGGCAGGTTCTACTACAGGAGTTGATGGAACAAGCAGTGATCTGAGACCACTTTGTGTAGGCCCTGTGTGGAACAAGGATGAAGAAAGTGTCTTGTTTGGGTGGCTTTGTGGGAAGTAAATGCCACCACCATTGCCTCTTGAGAGGCCATGAAGTGTTTTCATGGGTTTTTAAATGGTAAGGGCTTACTCTTTAGTGAGGGAGCTAGAGGTGGGTGAGAGCTGAAATTTTGGGACTGTTCTAAAATACTTGTTGGTAGACTAGGTCACTCTGCTGTTTTTTTCTTTGACACAGTGGAACCCCAGCTGCCCTCAAAAGAGTGTCCTGAACCACTCGAAGAGGTTACTTCTCCTGCCATACCACCAGCCCCAAAGGTGGAACCCAAGGGTGATGGGGTTGGTCCCACCCGGCAGCCCCCAAGCCAGGGCTTGGGGTACCCTAAATACCAGAAGTCATTGCCACCTCGTTTCCAGCGGCAGCAGCAGGTGAGGTTGAGTTACTTCCCTCCTGAGGGCCGTGGCTCCTGCTTCAAGGGCTACCTGTCTGTAAGCTACCTTCTGGTTTCCTCATCAGGTGTGTCTGTATTGGATCACCCTAATTTCCATCTAGGCCTGGTAGTCATCACATCTGCGTATCAACTTTTTTTCTTTGCTGGTTCCTTCCTTTTGGGTGGGAGTGGGGAGCTGTGGCACCTCTGTCCCAGCCCCTGATGTCTCGCAGGAGCAGCTTTTGAAGCAACAGCAGCAGCAGTGGCAGCAGCAGCAGGGCCCTGCCCCGCCAGCCCCAGTGCCCCCGTCGCCGCCGCAGCCTGTGGCCCTGGGGGCTGTGCCAGCACCACAGGCTCCCCCACCGCCCCCCAAGACCCTGTACCCAGGTGCTCTGGGCCGGCCGCCACCCATGCCCCCGATGAACTTTGACCCCCGCTGGATGATGATTCCTCCTTATGTGGATCCCCGGCTCCTCCAGGGCCGGCCCCCTCTGGACTTCTATCCTCCTGGTGTGCACCCCTCTGGTAAGGGGCCAGAGGCGGGTGGGCAGCAGGAGACCCCACAGGCCCAGGAAGTGGGTATGGCATCTTGCTGTGGGGATGCAGGGCCACCAGTAAAGGGAGAAGGATGTGCTTAGCCCTGCTCTGATAGTTCTTCACTGCGGAATTGGTTTGTGGGAGGGATAAAAAGTGGTCCCTCGTTGACCCGGATTTATTTGGGAGATTGATTTATCTGGAGCTGAGTAGATAACCCTGTTATAGGACAATAGGCAAGGCACAGATTTATGGAGGGTAAGAGATGTGGTGTTGGCTGATTGAGGAGATGCTTTTTGGGCCAGAGGACCCATCACATAAAGGATTCTTTTTCATCCCTCATTTACTCAGGTCTGGTTCCCCGGGAGCGCTCAGACAGTGGGGGCTCAAGCTCAGAGCCATTTGAGCGCCATGCACCTCCCCTCTTACGGGATCGGGGCACCCCCCCAGTGGATCCAAAGTTAGCCTGGGTGGGAGATGTCTTCACCACCACACCCACTGATCCCCGCCCGCTCACCTCACCACTGCGCCAGGCTGCTGAGGAGGATGACAAGGGGATGAGGTGAGTCTGAGTAGTAAGAAATGGGTGAGTTCTTACTGCAAGGATCTAGGCTAGGAGGAAAGGATTTTTGGTGAGGTGATAGGAATAAATATGAAAGTAATATCTAGGTCATGATAAAGTGTATCCTTTCCCTACCTAGTTCCAGTTTTTCTCACCCTGAGACATTTACTCTCATTCTTTTCTGTCTCCCTCTTCAGGAGTGAGACCCCTCCAGTACCTCCCCCACCACCCTATCTGGCCAGTTATCCAGGCTTTCCTGAGAATGGAGCCCCTGGGCCCCCAGTCCCTCGTTTCCCTCTGGAGGAGTCAGCCTCCCCAGGGCCCCGTCCACTCCCCTGGCCCCCAGGCAGTGATGAGGCAGCCAAGATACAAGCTCCGCCACCCAAGAAGGAAACCCCCAAGGAGGAGGTTCCACAGCTCATAGGGCCAGAAGCCAGCCGAAAGCCCACCCGCGGAGTTGGAGGCCAAGGCCCTCCCCCACCTCGCAGAGAAAGCCGCACAGAGACTCGCTGGGGCCCTCGCCCAGGCAGCAGTCGTCGTGGAATTCCTCCAGAGGACCCAGGGGCTCCTCCCCGCCGGGCTGGGCCTATAAAGAAACCCCCACCACCAACGAAAGTTGAAGAGCTGCCTCCCAAGCCCCTTGAACAGGGCGATGAAACCCCCAAGGCCCCAAAGCCAGACCCACTCAGGATGGCAAAGGGGAAGATAGGGGGCCCCAAGGACACCCCACCCAGTGGGAATCTTTCCCCTGCCCCAAGGCTGCGGAGGGACTACTCCTATGAAAGAGTGGGTCCTACCTCTTGCCGGGGTCGGGGTCGAGGAGAGTATTTTGCCAGAGGGAGGGGTTTTCGGGGAACCTATGGGGGTCGGGGTCGGGGAGTCAGAAGCCGAGAATTCCGCAGTTACCGAGAGTTCCGTGGGGATGATGGGCGTGGAGGTGGGGCAGGGATCCCAAACCATCCTGCTCCTCGAGGCCGTACTGCCAGTGAAACACGAAGCGAGGGTTCAGAATATGAAGAAATCCCCAAGCGGCGTCGACAGCGTGGCTCAGAAACGGGCAGTGAGACCCATGAGAGCGATCTGACCCCCTCAGACAAAGAGGCCCCCCCACCCAAGGAAGGTGTGCTCAACCAGGTCCCTCTTGCCCCTCCACCCTCAGGAGACCCCCCTTCACCAGCCCCAGCCCGCTTTTCCACCACCAGAGGTGGACGAGTCTTCACTCCCAGAGGGGTGCCATCCCGTAGGGGCCGAGGGGGAGGGCGGCCCCCTCCACCCATTTGCCCAGGCTGGAGCCCTCCAAACAACCCCTTGGTTCCCAAAAAGCCCCCAATAGGTCCTTTGCCACCAAGTAAGGAGCCTTTGAAAGAGAAGTTAATCCCAGGGCCTCTGTCCCCCATGGCCCGAGGAGGCAGTAATGTGGGCATGGGTGTGGAAGATGGGGAGAGGCCCCGAAGGAGGAGGCATGGGAGGGCTCAGCAGCAGGACAAACCGCCTCGTTTCCGGAGGCTGAAGCAGGAACGGGAGAATGCTGCCAGAGGGGCCGAAGGCAAACCCTCTTCCCTAGCCCTTCTAGCCTCTACTGGACCAGAGGAGGCCCTCCCAACAGTGCCCCTACCACCTCGCCGGGCAGCTGCCAAGTCTCCTGATCTGTCGAACCAAAATTCAGACCAAGCCAATGAGGAATGGGAGACTGCATCAGAGAGCAGTGACTTCACCAGTGAGCGCCGGGGGGACAAGGAGGCTCCCCCACCAGCACTGCTGACACCCAAAGCTGTGGGAATTCCTGGGGGCAGTGGAGGTGGAACTGGACCAGGCATTTCAGCCATGTCCCGTGGAGAGCTGAGCCAGAGAGCCAAGGATTTGAGTAAGCGGAGTTTCTCCAGTCAGCGGCCAGGCATGGACAGGCAGAACCGGCGCCCAGGCCCCGGCAGCAAGACTGGCAGTGGTGGCGGCAGCAGTGGAGGTGGTGGGGGCCCTGGCGGGAGGACTGGCCCAGGGCGAGGGGACAAAAGGAGCTGGCCCTCTCCCAAGAATCGAAGGTGGGTATGGAGAGGGTGTGATGTCTGTTCTGAAGGATAAAGTTGGGAGGGAACAAAAAAACCTGAGAGGAAAGGCACAGTGGGTGCTGTGGGGTTTGGGATCAGAGGCTATTAGGCACCACAATAGCCACAGGGAGGAGAAGTTTCTGGAGAACAGTTGAGAGGAATGCCCATGTATTCCCTGTTGCTTTCCCCTCTGGAGTATATGCACATGCAATTCCTTAGAAGTGCTTGAAAACACCTAGATTTTAATGGAAGAGGACAGGTTGGAAGAGATTTGACTAGTAGGGCAAAGGGAACAATTTTGTGAATACGAGACCTGATGCTGTTTCCTTCAGCCGTCCTCCAGAGGAGCGTGCCCCTGGGCTTCCTCTGCCTCCCCCGCCCCCCAGCAGTTCTGCTGTCTTCCGCCTGGACCAAGTTATCCACAGCAACCCTGCTGGCATCCAACAGGCTCTGGCCCAGCTCAGCAGCCGCCAAGGGAGTGCAGCTGCACCAGGGGGACACCCAAGGCTCAAGCCTGGGCCTCCCCAAGCCCCTCAAGGCCCTTCCCCTCGGACCCCAACCCGATACAACCCTCAGAGAACCAACAACATGAATTCGGGTAAGCTGGAGGGGCTAAGGGTGGGAATGTTTCCAGCCTCAGAAAGTTAGGTGCTGAAGGGAGAAGAGTCTGCCTGGGGGCCTTGGTGCTGGGTGTCTGTACTGAGCGAGGGTGAAGGTTTGGGAGGAAGAAGAAGGAGAAAGAGCTAGGGTCAGTGACAGAGCAGGATAGATGCTGACATATTTCCCCTTTTCCCCAGACCACCACTCTGAGGAGCCAGGGCTGATGGTGAGGGGGGTGGGCAGGACACCCCTGGACTCTGCTGGGGTTAATCCCTTCCCCCCCAAACGGCGGGAGCAGCCTCCCAGAAAACCGGAGCTGCTGCAGGAGGTAAGGGATGGGGCTTGAGATTGTGCTTCACCTCTCTCCTGAAGGGTCTTGTTTTTCTCTATTTTCTTTCCTTTTTCTATACTGTGTTCACACCCCAAATTCTCAGCAATAGTCACTGCTTGTCCTCCATTGCCTTGTGCCTCACTCTGTCCCAGCTTTTTACATTCCCCAGTTCCCTTCTCATTGACGGTTGTCCTTTGTTCTTTCTCACTTACAGGAATCTTTGCCATCTTCTCACAGCTCTGGATTCTTGGGCCCCAAGCCTGAGGACCCAGACCCTCAGGGAGAATCCAGAGATGCAGGAACAGAGGTCCTAACCCCTCATATCTGGAATCGTTTACATACTAGTGAGTAAAGCTCAGTGGAGGGAAGGGCTGCTACGGTGGAGGGCTGAGAGCGTGACACAGGCCTTGGAACTGTCTTCTCTTCCCCAGCCACTAACCGAAAGAGTTACCAGCCTGGCTCCATGGAGCCCTGGATGGAGCCCTTGAGTCCTTTTGAAGATGTGGCTGGTACAGAGGTGCGTGAGGATGGGAGGGAGTGTTGGAGCTGGGATTTGACTGAACACAGGTTACACTTTGCCACCTGTTAGCAGTTGAATCTGGGGCTCTTCCTTTACATAGGTGGCCCCTTCCTTCATTTTGTCCATTGGTGTTTATCAGTCGTATTGGGTGCTTTCTGCCCTGACTTAACTGACTCCTTCTCCACTCCTCTCAGATGAGTCAGTCTGACAGTGGGGTGGACCTGAGTGGAGATTCTCAGGTGTCATCAGGTCCCTGCAGCCAGCGAAGTTCCCCTGATGGAGGACTCAAGGGGGCAGCAGAGGGGACCCCCAAACGGCCTGGAGGCCCCTCACTTCTGAATGCTGTTCCTGGTGAGGGTCCATCTGGCTCTGAACCTCCTAGGAGACGGCCACCTGCCTCCCACAATGGGGACAGAAAGGTAAGAGACCAAGAAAAGAGGAAAGAGGCATGTTTTGGGAGTCTGACCTTGATGCTACCTTTGTCTTCTTGCCTGTGTGTCCTTGAGGATCCCCTGATTTGGGCTTCCCTTGCCCTTGCCCAACCCCACTTCACCGTGTTTCCCAACCCAGGAGCTGTCCCGGGAGCAGCCTCTGCCCCCTGACCCCATTGGCACAGAACGATTGCAGCGTACAGACCGAGGCTCAGAACCTGGCTCCCTCCGACCGTCTCATCGAGCTGGCCCCCCAGTCCAGTTTGGCACCAGTGACAAGGTCTGTGTGGGCTGGGGCTGCTGGGTGCTTGGGTTGGGTGGAGAGAGAAGGGAGAACTGGAGGTGGGCCATGGAAGTATATAAGCAATGGGACAATCTCCCCTGCCAGGACTCAGACTTGTGCCTAGTGGTAGGAGACAGTTTAAAAGCAGAGAAGGAGCTCACAGCATCAGTCACTGAGGTAAGTGGGAGAACTGAGAGTTTCGTGGAAAGCCCTTAGATTTCTGGAGAAGAGGGCTGGGAGTGACCTGGGCATCCAGGATGTCCAAACATCCCTCTTGACAGGACTTCTCATTCCCAGGCCATTCCCATATCACGAGACTGGGAGCTGCTCCCCAGTGCTTCTGCCTCAGTTGAAGCACAGTCCAAAAACCTGGTTTCTGAGCCCTGTGGCCCAGAGCCCAGCTCCTCAGGCCACCGCCTGTACTCTGAGGTCTTCTATGGCAGCCCTGGGCCCCCAAGCTCTCAAGTAGGTCCTACTTGCTATTCCATGAACCCTTTATGCATGCTGTCCCTTGCAATCAACCTTTTCCAAGTTGTATAGTTATAAAACAACATACTTTGTCATTTCATTTTTCTCTTTGCTTTTATTGTGGGTGGGGTGGATGAGCTCTTCTTGACCAGAAAATTTGGAGCTATTCTAGCCTTGCTCTTGTGCAGGTCTCAGGGAGAGCCATAGACTCTCAGTTACATCCCAACAGTGGAGGCTTCCGCCCTGGGACACCCTCACTGCACCCTTACAGGTAAGACTAGATGCCTGTATATCTCAGAAAGGGATAGAGCTGTTTTCATGGGAGAGGGAAGGGAAGACATATCTGTAAAGTACCAAAGGCTTGTGGGCTTAGGGCATCACTCAGACTAAAGGAATAAATGACTCTGGATTTCTGATCTCTCTTAACCCCCTCGCTCCAACTTCTTTTCAGATCACAGCCCTTGTACCTCCCCCCAGGCCCAGCGCCCCCTTCGGCACTGCTCTCTGGAGTAGCTGTCAAGGGCCAGTTTCTGGATTTCTCAGCACTGCAAGCAGCAGAACTGGGGAAGTTGCCAGCTGGTGGAGTTCTCTACCCTCCCCCTTCTTTCCTCTACTCTCCAGCTTTCTGCCCCAGCCCTTTGCCTGACCCACCCTTGCTTCAGGTAAGAGGTGGGCAGGTGCTGAGCTTAGTACGTTAGGGGCAGGGGAGAGTACTTTGTGGTAGTTGATGTATTTCTCCGTCTCCCAACAGGTGCGCCAGGATCTGCCATCCCCCTCCGATTTTTATTCTACTCTACAACCTGGTGGCCAAAATGGCTTCCTCCCTTCAGGGGCTGCTGCCCAGCAGGTACCTTTTATCTTCATACTTGCCCTTCATCCTAATTTCATTGTTCCACCTCTGGCTTTTTTTGTTACTCATTTTGACTCTAGCCCTGGTTTTCTGACATTCTTTCTTTACCCTAGCACATACCCCCATGTTTCTTGTTATAGATGCTTCTGCCCATGGTGGACTCACAGCTGTCTGTGGTGAACTTTGGTTCCCTGCCACCAGCACCACCTTCTGCCCCACCCCCCCTTTCTCTGTTGCCTCTGGGCCCTACTCTACAGCCCCCGAGCCTGGCTGTGCGGCCTCCACCTGCTCCTGCTGCTCGGGTGCTGCCTTCACCTGCCAGGCCCTTCCCCCCGAGCTTGGGGCGAGCAGAGGTAAGGTACAGGAACTAAAGTGCTAGGGAACTCCAAGAGTTAAGGGATTTAGTATCTTAGAATGAATGGGTTGAGAGGCAGGAGGCTCATGAATTTTCTTCTTTCAGCTGCACCCAATGGAACTAAAGCCGTTCCAGGATTATCGAAAACTGAGCAGCAGCCTTGGGGGACCTGGGTCATCACGTACTCCCCCAGTTGGAAGGCAAGAAAGAGAAGGGAATGGGGATGCAGACTGCCCAGCCCCAGGGACTTTGTTACTTTGGGGACCTGTAGGCAAGGGCTTAAGCTCATCCTAAACATCCTTCCTCCTTTAGGTCTTTCTCTGGCCTCAATACCCGTCTCAAGGCCCCACCTTCCACCTATGGTGGAGTCTTCCGCACCCAGCGCATAGACCTCTACCAGCAGGTGAAGGAGAAACCCCTGTGGTCCCAAGTCTGAATTCAAGAGTTATCAGCAGAATTCCTATCTTTTCCATCCCTTGCTTTCCAGTATGACTTTTAACTTTTCCATGTGAACCTGTACCCCAGGCTTCCCCACCAGATGCCCTGCGCTGGATGCCAAAGCCTTGGGAATGGACACCACCCAAGAAGGAAACCCCCAAGGAGGAGGTTCCACAGCTCATAGGGCCAGAAGCCAGCCGAAAGCCCACCCGCGGAGTTGGAGGCCAAGGCCCTCCCCCACCTCGCAGAGAAAGCCGCACAGAGACTCGCTGGGGCCCTCGCCCAGGCAGCAGTCGTCGTGGAATTCCTCCAGAGGACCCAGGGGCTCCTCCCCGCCGGGCTGGGCCTATAAAGAAACCCCCACCACCAACGAAAGTTGAAGAGCTGCCTCCCAAGCCCCTTGAACAGGGCGATGAAACCCCCAAGGCCCCAAAGCCAGACCCACTCAGGATGGCAAAGGGGAAGATAGGGGGCCCCAAGGACACCCCACCCAGTGGGAATCTTTCCCCTGCCCCAAGGCTGCGGAGGGACTACTCCTATGAAAGAGTGGGTCCTACCTCTTGCCGGGGTCGGGGTCGAGGAGAGTATTTTGCCAGAGGGAGGGGTTTTCGGGGAACCTATGGGGGTCGGGGTCGGGGAGTCAGAAGCCGAGAATTCCGCAGTTACCGAGAGTTCCGTGGGGATGATGGGCGTGGAGGTGGGGCAGGGATCCCAAACCATCCTGCTCCTCGAGGCCGTACTGCCAGTGAAACACGAAGCGAGGGTTCAGAATATGAAGAAATCCCCAAGCGGCGTCGACAGCGTGGCTCAGAAACGGGCAGTGAGACCCATGAGAGCGATCTGACCCCCTCAGACAAAGAGGCCCCCCCACCCAAGGAAGGTGTGCTCAACCAGGTCCCTCTTGCCCCTCCACCCTCAGGAGACCCCCCTTCACCAGCCCCAGCCCGCTTTTCCACCACCAGAGGTGGACGAGTCTTCACTCCCAGAGGGGTGCCATCCCGTAGGGGCCGAGGGGGAGGGCGGCCCCCTCCACCCATTTGCCCAGGCTGGAGCCCTCCAAACAACCCCTTGGTTCCCAAAAAGCCCCCAATAGGTCCTTTGCCACCAAGTAAGGAGCCTTTGAAAGAGAAGTTAATCCCAGGGCCTCTGTCCCCCATGGCCCGAGGAGGCAGTAATGTGGGCATGGGTGTGGAAGATGGGGAGAGGCCCCGAAGGAGGAGGCATGGGAGGGCTCAGCAGCAGGACAAACCGCCTCGTTTCCGGAGGCTGAAGCAGGAACGGGAGAATGCTGCCAGAGGGGCCGAAGGCAAACCCTCTTCCCTAGCCCTTCTAGCCTCTACTGGACCAGAGGAGGCCCTCCCAACAGTGCCCCTACCACCTCGCCGGGCAGCTGCCAAGTCTCCTGATCTGTCGAACCAAAATTCAGACCAAGCCAATGAGGAATGGGAGACTGCATCAGAGAGCAGTGACTTCACCAGTGAGCGCCGGGGGGACAAGGAGGCTCCCCCACCAGCACTGCTGACACCCAAAGCTGTGGGAATTCCTGGGGGCAGTGGAGGTGGAACTGGACCAGGCATTTCAGCCATGTCCCGTGGAGAGCTGAGCCAGAGAGCCAAGGATTTGAGTAAGCGGAGTTTCTCCAGTCAGCGGCCAGGCATGGACAGGCAGAACCGGCGCCCAGGCCCCGGCAGCAAGACTGGCAGTGGTGGCGGCAGCAGTGGAGGTGGTGGGGGCCCTGGCGGGAGGACTGGCCCAGGGCGAGGGGACAAAAGGAGCTGGCCCTCTCCCAAGAATCGAAGGTGGGTATGGAGAGGGTGTGATGTCTGTTCTGAAGGATAAAGTTGGGAGGGAACAAAAAAACCTGAGAGGAAAGGCACAGTGGGTGCTGTGGGGTTTGGGATCAGAGGCTATTAGGCACCACAATAGCCACAGGGAGGAGAAGTTTCTGGAGAACAGTTGAGAGGAATGCCCATGTATTCCCTGTTGCTTTCCCCTCTGGAGTATATGCACATGCAATTCCTTAGAAGTGCTTGAAAACACCTAGATTTTAATGGAAGAGGACAGGTTGGAAGAGATTTGACTAGTAGGGCAAAGGGAACAATTTTGTGAATACGAGACCTGATGCTGTTTCCTTCAGCCGTCCTCCAGAGGAGCGTGCCCCTGGGCTTCCTCTGCCTCCCCCGCCCCCCAGCAGTTCTGCTGTCTTCCGCCTGGACCAAGTTATCCACAGCAACCCTGCTGGCATCCAACAGGCTCTGGCCCAGCTCAGCAGCCGCCAAGGGAGTGCAGCTGCACCAGGGGGACACCCAAGGCTCAAGCCTGGGCCTCCCCAAGCCCCTCAAGGCCCTTCCCCTCGGACCCCAACCCGATACAACCCTCAGAGAACCAACAACATGAATTCGGGTAAGCTGGAGGGGCTAAGGGTGGGAATGTTTCCAGCCTCAGAAAGTTAGGTGCTGAAGGGAGAAGAGTCTGCCTGGGGGCCTTGGTGCTGGGTGTCTGTACTGAGCGAGGGTGAAGGTTTGGGAGGAAGAAGAAGGAGAAAGAGCTAGGGTCAGTGACAGAGCAGGATAGATGCTGACATATTTCCCCTTTTCCCCAGACCACCACTCTGAGGAGCCAGGGCTGATGGTGAGGGGGGTGGGCAGGACACCCCTGGACTCTGCTGGGGTTAATCCCTTCCCCCCCAAACGGCGGGAGCAGCCTCCCAGAAAACCGGAGCTGCTGCAGGAGGTAAGGGATGGGGCTTGAGATTGTGCTTCACCTCTCTCCTGAAGGGTCTTGTTTTTCTCTATTTTCTTTCCTTTTTCTATACTGTGTTCACACCCCAAATTCTCAGCAATAGTCACTGCTTGTCCTCCATTGCCTTGTGCCTCACTCTGTCCCAGCTTTTTACATTCCCCAGTTCCCTTCTCATTGACGGTTGTCCTTTGTTCTTTCTCACTTACAGGAATCTTTGCCATCTTCTCACAGCTCTGGATTCTTGGGCCCCAAGCCTGAGGACCCAGACCCTCAGGGAGAATCCAGAGATGCAGGAACAGAGGTCCTAACCCCTCATATCTGGAATCGTTTACATACTAGTGAGTAAAGCTCAGTGGAGGGAAGGGCTGCTACGGTGGAGGGCTGAGAGCGTGACACAGGCCTTGGAACTGTCTTCTCTTCCCCAGCCACTAACCGAAAGAGTTACCAGCCTGGCTCCATGGAGCCCTGGATGGAGCCCTTGAGTCCTTTTGAAGATGTGGCTGGTACAGAGGTGCGTGAGGATGGGAGGGAGTGTTGGAGCTGGGATTTGACTGAACACAGGTTACACTTTGCCACCTGTTAGCAGTTGAATCTGGGGCTCTTCCTTTACATAGGTGGCCCCTTCCTTCATTTTGTCCATTGGTGTTTATCAGTCGTATTGGGTGCTTTCTGCCCTGACTTAACTGACTCCTTCTCCACTCCTCTCAGATGAGTCAGTCTGACAGTGGGGTGGACCTGAGTGGAGATTCTCAGGTGTCATCAGGTCCCTGCAGCCAGCGAAGTTCCCCTGATGGAGGACTCAAGGGGGCAGCAGAGGGGACCCCCAAACGGCCTGGAGGCCCCTCACTTCTGAATGCTGTTCCTGGTGAGGGTCCATCTGGCTCTGAACCTCCTAGGAGACGGCCACCTGCCTCCCACAATGGGGACAGAAAGGTAAGAGACCAAGAAAAGAGGAAAGAGGCATGTTTTGGGAGTCTGACCTTGATGCTACCTTTGTCTTCTTGCCTGTGTGTCCTTGAGGATCCCCTGATTTGGGCTTCCCTTGCCCTTGCCCAACCCCACTTCACCGTGTTTCCCAACCCAGGAGCTGTCCCGGGAGCAGCCTCTGCCCCCTGACCCCATTGGCACAGAACGATTGCAGCGTACAGACCGAGGCTCAGAACCTGGCTCCCTCCGACCGTCTCATCGAGCTGGCCCCCCAGTCCAGTTTGGCACCAGTGACAAGGTCTGTGTGGGCTGGGGCTGCTGGGTGCTTGGGTTGGGTGGAGAGAGAAGGGAGAACTGGAGGTGGGCCATGGAAGTATATAAGCAATGGGACAATCTCCCCTGCCAGGACTCAGACTTGTGCCTAGTGGTAGGAGACAGTTTAAAAGCAGAGAAGGAGCTCACAGCATCAGTCACTGAGGTAAGTGGGAGAACTGAGAGTTTCGTGGAAAGCCCTTAGATTTCTGGAGAAGAGGGCTGGGAGTGACCTGGGCATCCAGGATGTCCAAACATCCCTCTTGACAGGACTTCTCATTCCCAGGCCATTCCCATATCACGAGACTGGGAGCTGCTCCCCAGTGCTTCTGCCTCAGTTGAAGCACAGTCCAAAAACCTGGTTTCTGAGCCCTGTGGCCCAGAGCCCAGCTCCTCAGGCCACCGCCTGTACTCTGAGGTCTTCTATGGCAGCCCTGGGCCCCCAAGCTCTCAAGTAGGTCCTACTTGCTATTCCATGAACCCTTTATGCATGCTGTCCCTTGCAATCAACCTTTTCCAAGTTGTATAGTTATAAAACAACATACTTTGTCATTTCATTTTTCTCTTTGCTTTTATTGTGGGTGGGGTGGATGAGCTCTTCTTGACCAGAAAATTTGGAGCTATTCTAGCCTTGCTCTTGTGCAGGTCTCAGGGAGAGCCATAGACTCTCAGTTACATCCCAACAGTGGAGGCTTCCGCCCTGGGACACCCTCACTGCACCCTTACAGGTAAGACTAGATGCCTGTATATCTCAGAAAGGGATAGAGCTGTTTTCATGGGAGAGGGAAGGGAAGACATATCTGTAAAGTACCAAAGGCTTGTGGGCTTAGGGCATCACTCAGACTAAAGGAATAAATGACTCTGGATTTCTGATCTCTCTTAACCCCCTCGCTCCAACTTCTTTTCAGATCACAGCCCTTGTACCTCCCCCCAGGCCCAGCGCCCCCTTCGGCACTGCTCTCTGGAGTAGCTGTCAAGGGCCAGTTTCTGGATTTCTCAGCACTGCAAGCAGCAGAACTGGGGAAGTTGCCAGCTGGTGGAGTTCTCTACCCTCCCCCTTCTTTCCTCTACTCTCCAGCTTTCTGCCCCAGCCCTTTGCCTGACCCACCCTTGCTTCAGGTAAGAGGTGGGCAGGTGCTGAGCTTAGTACGTTAGGGGCAGGGGAGAGTACTTTGTGGTAGTTGATGTATTTCTCCGTCTCCCAACAGGTGCGCCAGGATCTGCCATCCCCCTCCGATTTTTATTCTACTCTACAACCTGGTGGCCAAAATGGCTTCCTCCCTTCAGGGGCTGCTGCCCAGCAGGTACCTTTTATCTTCATACTTGCCCTTCATCCTAATTTCATTGTTCCACCTCTGGCTTTTTTTGTTACTCATTTTGACTCTAGCCCTGGTTTTCTGACATTCTTTCTTTACCCTAGCACATACCCCCATGTTTCTTGTTATAGATGCTTCTGCCCATGGTGGACTCACAGCTGTCTGTGGTGAACTTTGGTTCCCTGCCACCAGCACCACCTTCTGCCCCACCCCCCCTTTCTCTGTTGCCTCTGGGCCCTACTCTACAGCCCCCGAGCCTGGCTGTGCGGCCTCCACCTGCTCCTGCTGCTCGGGTGCTGCCTTCACCTGCCAGGCCCTTCCCCCCGAGCTTGGGGCGAGCAGAGGTAAGGTACAGGAACTAAAGTGCTAGGGAACTCCAAGAGTTAAGGGATTTAGTATCTTAGAATGAATGGGTTGAGAGGCAGGAGGCTCATGAATTTTCTTCTTTCAGCTGCACCCAATGGAACTAAAGCCGTTCCAGGATTATCGAAAACTGAGCAGCAGCCTTGGGGGACCTGGGTCATCACGTACTCCCCCAGTTGGAAGGCAAGAAAGAGAAGGGAATGGGGATGCAGACTGCCCAGCCCCAGGGACTTTGTTACTTTGGGGACTTGTAGGCAAGGGCTTAAGCTCATCCTAAACATCCTTCCTCCTTTAGGTCTTTCTCTGGCCTCAATACCCGTCTCAAGGCCCCACCTTCCACCTATGGTGGAGTCTTCCGCACCCAGCGCATAGACCTCTACCAGCAGGTGAAGGAGAAACCCCTGTGGTCCCAAGTCTGAATTCAAGAGTTATCAGCAGAATTCCTATCTTTTCCATCCCTTGCTTTCCAGTATGACTTTTAACTTTTCCATGTGAACCTGTACCCCAGGCTTCCCCACCAGATGCCCTGCGCTGGATGCCAAAGCCTTGGGAATGGACTGGGCCGCATCGAGAAGGGCCATCCCAACATGCAGAGGAGCCTGGGTCGCGAGGGGACAAGGAGCCTGGGTTGCCTCCACCCCGCTGAGGGAGTAGTTCCCTTGTTCCCCACCCCCAGGGCTTGTATATAGATTATAAATATATAAGGGGGGAGGGGGCGGGGGGAGGAGTTGTGGGGCCGGGGCCTCGCTTCCCCTTCTTACCCCTCCCCTGGTCCCCTATCCCTGGGGCTGTTTGTTAAAAAATAATAAAAGGATTAAAAAAATGTCCCAAAATTATTTTGCAGATAGGTTCTTTGGTTGGCAGTCTCTTCTGTCATAATAGGATGGTGCCAAGGGATCTGTAGAGTTTAAGCCAGGGAACTGTTACTTAACCCAGTGTACCAGGCTAGCTGAGCATTTAACTGCTTTATTGTATCTTAAAGGTTTTATGAGCTGAAAGAGCTGGGCTCTGCAGGGCAAATTGCCTTTTTTTTGCAAATTGCTTCTTGTACCAATGGAGCCAGTCTTAAGCTGACAGGTGGGCTGATCCCATGGGGCTTCCTTCAACATGTCTGCATGGGCCCTGGTGGGACTTTTGTAAAAGAACACTGGATTGTCAACTAGCAGTTTTATGTGGCCTCTCTAGCAGAATGTTTTGAGTCATTAGGGAATGTAGGTTCCTGAGCCAGTGCTCTAGGAGGTCCTAGAGCTTTAAAAAACTTAACAACATAAGCCTTAGAATGTCTTCTGCCATGTTCTATTTGGCCAGCACTAAGCTAGAAAGGGGAGATGTGCAACTGCATTTCTGAGTAACAGAATTTGCAGCCATGGATCACTTTGATTCCACCTAGAAACTTGAGAGGAAATGAATGCCATTAAGAGCTGTCAAGCATGTGAGCAGCAGGCTCCTTAACTGGGTAAAGGATTACCATCATTGTAAATGAGTTGCACGTGACCACTGCATGCTAGCTGCTAAGACTATATTAAGGTTCACAGCTGTAGGGTGTGTTTGTTTTGTACTGGTAGTTTGAGAGCCCTATCCTAGCATGCACCAGAACAAGTTTCTTCCATCTCAGAATTTAGGTCTTAAAATTCGTTGGTGTAGAGGTGTTCCTTGAAAATGGCCACCATTTGTACATTTTAGTTTTGTGTTGCATTAACCTGTAAAATGTTCAGTTGTCTAGTACAGCTGGGTTTTTGGGGATTATTAATCTTTTAACAAGTTCATAGAAGACTAAATGGCTGAAATCCACTTAGTGAAAAAAAACTGAAACAAAAGAGCCAGGAAAATCTGACTTTTATTTCTTAAATACTGTGAAGAAGGGATGGTCCCCTGGAGAGGGAGGGCCATGGAGCAGAGAGCTAGGGATCATCAGCAAAGGCCCGGTGGGCACTAGGGAAGCGCTGAGGACTGTAGTTGGGATCTTCCTGCAATCGCTTTTGTATATCAGCCCGGAGCTAGAAATGAGAGAGCAAACAAGTTGGAGGGGTGTTGGCTAAGGCCTTAAGGATCCCAACCCGCACACAAGGCCACCCCTCATATGCTAACACTTCCCCACCAATCACACAGCCCAATAACGCATTTGAAAACATCAAGTGATAGCCCCAGACTGATTGAATTAATCTGTGAAGGAATCTGGAAAGAGGGGCCCTAACCCAAACCCTCCCACTAGACCATCCCTATTCTGCTTCAAGATAGGGGCACCTGCTGCCTGTAGCTCTCCTGAACCTCTGGTGCCTCCAGGTCCCGGCTCAGGCTCTCGGGGCTTGTCAGGGGCCGAGCTCCGGCTGCCTTAGCTGCCCGGCTCACAGCTTCTGAGAGAAGCAGTTGGGGGCCCTCACCCTGCATCGTCTGGGGACAGGGAATTGGGAGGGAAAAGAGGATCAACATCAGATCCAGTGCCACCACCCAGCTCACCCTTTCATAAGCCAACCACTGACTCTCCATGTTAGTGGAGAGAAGGGAAACAGTCCACAAGTGGTTTGGACAGCAAAAATGCCTTCCCAATTTTGTTTGGCTCCGGGCAAAAATGACATTTGAATGTGCTGGACTTGCTCTTCAAAAATAAGGGGGAAGATGGGTTGAGCCACCCAGATTCAGAGCTTATCAGTCCACAAGAGGAAGCCCATCTTAAGGAAAATGGGCTCTAGTCCCATGGGGATTAGGCAGATGAGGGATGACAGGACTATTGGCAGAGAGACTAATGTAAAGGTGTGGTGCCACAACCGTGAGCAAGTCTGAGTCCCAGAAAGCCTTCCTCATCCATTAAATGAGGACTAAACTAGAAGAATCCCTTCCAGCTCTAACTGGTTTGATTCTAAGCACATCAGGGGAATAGGGATAGAGAGATCCTCAGGGAAGAGGCAAACCAACCTTGCGTCTCTTGGCAGGCATACCACTGAGGTAGGCATCACTCAGAGGAGGCTGTGGTTTCACCTTTCGCTGGCTCTGAATGTCCTGCTGGATAATAGGGACCCATTCCTGGGGAAGAAAAGATGATCACAAAGGCAACTTCCACAACTTTCAGCTACCTTGGCCCACTGGGTGACCTCCTGACACTTACTGGGGGGACTGCAGCTGCCCAAGGCTCTGTCTCAGAAGCTCCATCCTGTTCATCATGAGAGCCCCCATCAGGAGCAGGAGGTGGACCTCGGGACATGGCCTCTTCTGCTGTTGTTCCAGGGGCTGGGGAAGCATTCTCCCGCTGAGAGCCAGAGAGAAGGAAGATCCAGACTTCAGAATTCTCAGCCTCCAGCCCTCCTGCCCCCAGCCCCCCACACAATCTGGGCACTCAATCTCTCCCTGGTACCTGAGGCTCAGGGGCAGTTCTCTCTGATCCCTGAACTTCCATTGGCTCCTCAGGAAGTGGCTGTGACATTGACAGAGGAGAACACCACAAAGGGCCCATTCAGATCTCTTCAGTTCTCTCAAGTTGTCTGAGCCCACAGTCCCTCAGGTCCCTTACCTGAGGGGGATCACCGACTCTGCGAACATATCTGAGGATTGCATCAGGGCCTATAGGCATGTGCTCCAGTACCACCTGAAGCCTCAGTCCCATCATGGTTGTCAGCCAGCTCACCAAGGATGGATTCACCCCATGAGACATACGACGCTGAGGGGCAGGAAAGCCAAGTTGGAATGCAAAACCGTTAACTAGCCTTTTGAAAAGTTATCAAAGGGTAAAGGATGGCTAAGAAAAATGAAAATGGCAGGAAATGAAAGGGAATGGAAACCTGAGAAAACAAAAGGCTGGGGGATCTGGGGTTGGATGGTGCTTACAATGCGGCCATTGATGACAGCAGCCAACTCCATCTGCTGTCCCCCTAAGCAGTGCAGGTTCAGGGCCAAGCATTCAAACAGGCCCTGGTTACACAATTCCAGCAAACGGGCCCCAAATCCACTGTCTGTGGGCAAGACATAAGGAGGGAATGCTGGTACCTGGCAGCCCTACATACCCAACACACCCCACTCACTCTGGCCCAGACAGCTGCCGACCTGTGCAGTGCAGCACGTGAGCAGCAATGCTGTTAAACTGCTCTTGGAGAAATTCCAGGTTAGTCCGGATGATGTCCACACCTGGCTGAACCTGCACCAAAGACTGAGAGACACGACGCACAAAGACCCGAACATCAGGGACCCCCAGAGACTGGGTCTCAAGAAGGCAGTAGGAACAGCAGCTATCCCGACCAGACCCAGGAGAGGAAGGGATGGGGAAGGTTACTCACAAAACTCTCCCGCACGTATTCTTCCAGTCCCGTGATCAAAGTGTGGGTTGCCGTCTATGGTGGGGGAGGAGGCGGCAGGAAGGACAACACAGATTTAGATCCAAGCCCCAGCTCTCAAGACACCTCTCCCTCCACCCTCAGCCAAGTCCAGTCATAGCTTTAGGTTAACAGTCACAAATAAGGAATTGAGGGCGAAAAGGAGAAGAGCTCTTGGGCCCAGGGTCTTCATTTACCCGGATGTTACCAGGTGTGGGCTCCTGGCCACCCAGGTAGTGGTGGTGGAAGAAAGATCGCAGCTGGGGCTGGAGCCGCTGCAGTGGCTGGAAATGCCCATGGAGAAGCATCACCACATCCACCATGGAAAAGTTCTGGCACAGAAGGGAGAGCAGAGCCCCGAAGAATCCTGGGGACAGGGGCAGAAGTTGGTAGAGGCCTTTACCACCTAGCCTGCCCACCCACCCCTTCATTCCACCCTGGCAACACCCTTAAACTAAGGTCATATACCTTCCCCTGGTTGCCCCTCCCTGGAAAAGCAAGATAACCGCATTTGCTTACCGAGGGCCCCATCGGCCCCAGGCTCAAAGATGTTGCTGGATCCACTAAGGCGCTGTATGAAAGCAGCGATACTTTCACTGCTGCCAGCCCGAGCCCCCAGGGATCCCAGCAGGGAGTTCAGCACACCCTGCACCACCGAGGTATAAAACTCCGGGGAAAGGTTCTCAGGACCCAGGCCTCCAGGACTCCCTGCACCACCAGAAGGGGAGCCTGGTGGGGGTGTGGTCTGCTGTTCAGGAGCTGGGGGTGGGGGTGGTGGAGGAGGTGGAGGGGCCGTCTGTGTTGCCTGGCAAACAGAGAAAGAATAAAGAGCAAATGAGGTGAGAATGGAAAGGACATGAAATGGCATCAAGAGGGAACAAACCAGCAGGGGTCTAGAAGATGGGAAACTCTATTTTGGTCTTTACAAAATACGCATGGGTATTTACTCAACAGCAGTTAGCCCGAGCAGAGTTGGGTTAGGTTAGAAAGCAATGACACGAATTACTATGCTCTCTCTCAGCCTCATTTTCCTCATCTCCAAAATGGATCAATGAATTCCCAGGGTTCCCTCCAACTGACAGGCCACCAGGGGCTGCAGCCCAGTGGCATTGTGATGGCAACAAGGCACGCAGGCCCAGCTGGGCTTGGGGAGAGAAAAGGGGAGGTGAACAGCAAGCCGGTCTTCACCTGCAAAAGGTCAGTCATGCCCTGAAGAAAGGCAGGGACTCCAGGCATCGCCACAGTGATGGTGGGAGACGCCATGCCAGGCCCTCCAGCCCCTGGCCCTGAAGGCCCCAGCAGGTTTCCCAGGAGCTGAGAGAACTGAAGATCAGAGGAGGGCTGAGGGGGTGGAGGCTGGGCAGGGCCCCCAGGTGCAGGGCCTGCTGTGGTAGCTGTGTTGGTAGTGCCAGCACTGGCTGAAG